GCAATTTAAGCACTAAACTGTGCACTTGACAATGCTGTTGCCTGTTGCAGAGGCCTTGGCACGAATATGAGCACAACTTCCAGATCATGTATAAAGTGGGGATGGGTCATAAACCTCCTATTCCGGACAAAGTGAGCCCAGAAGGGAAAGACTTCCTTTGCCACTGCCTGGAAAGTGACCCAAAGATGAGGTGGACGGCCAGCCAGCTCCTCGACCATCCTTTTGTCAAGGTTTGTCTCACAGCTACACTGCAAAGATCATAGATGGGAACTAGAAACAGCATTTAGTCGGCTTCACTGTTTGCAGCTACACCATGGGGCTTTGTGTTGCATTGGGAGGCTGGAATCGAGTTCACGCTGTCCAGAAAACAAGGTTTGGTAACTTCTTAGAGGCACACACATTGTTGCTAGCAAACATTGTGACTAAAAGAATCTCGTGTGTGTGAGAGTGTAGTAGAGGGGCCGAATCACCTCTCTGGACTTGCTGGCTGTGCTTCTCATGCCGCAGCCCGGGATGCGAATGGCTTTCAGGGCTGCGAGTGAGCACCGCCAGGTCACGCTCAGTTTTTCATCCGCCAACACCCCCAGGTCCTTCTCTGCAGGGCTGCTCTTGGTCCTCTCATCACCCAGCCTGTGTTTATGCTTGGGATAATCCATATAAGGGAGAAAGAAGAAAGCTTTGAAGATGTTCAGTGAAGCTGCTGAAGAAATTGTTGTGTTGTCATCTTGCTGCAGCAGGGAGACAATTGAATTTTAATTGCCTTTTGTTCCCTTCACAGGTTTGCACAGATGAAGAATGAAGTTATTCACTCTCTGGCCTTTTTTATTCTGGCAAGATACTTTTTAATCACTACTGTATGTAATATTTACATAAAGACTGTGCTGAGAAACAGTATAAAAGTTGAACTTACGAAGACTGCACAAGTGACAAGCGTCACTTTCTCTGCTGCTCCTATATGTTTTACTTGGCACATGTTGCTCATGTGACAGTGTCTGCAAGTTGGAAGAAGCTGCATGTTTCAGTGAAAGTGCCATTACTACTGTATATGGACCATACCTTTTTTCGTTGTTCTTTCTCCTGTTTCTCATTTGATTGAGAACTGTAATGTTAATTTGTAGTATTTTTGAACTCTTTAGGTTCAGAAAAATGCTGTAGTGTTATCAGGCATTATGGACCTTGTTTTTTAATCTGTTTGTTGAGTGCACTGACTGTGAACTTTTACTGGTTTTTTTTTTTTTGTTCGTTTATTTGTTTTTGGCAAGCTTCAGATTTGTTATGCACAAGGCTGATTAATGAAATTTTAAAAAAAGGGGTTTTTTTCTCAATAAATGGTTTATTTTAGGAGTTTCTGGTGAAGGGTTTTTCTTCTGAAAAGAAGTATGTGGGGTTGTGTCGCATCTTAAACTTATTTTTCCAATGCTTGTTTAAGACTGCTGAGCTAACTTAACCCAAATAAGCTTCTCTTATAGTGCCATGGTCAACGATTTGTCAAGTTCAAGATGTGCAGTGTTAGATCCTTCTTACACAAGTGATGAGAGTGAATTAAGCTCCCCTCATGTGTTGCCTGGTCTAGTCGAGAGGTGGCGTCCCTGCCCATGACAGGGAGGTTGGATCAGATGATCTCTAAGGTCCCTTCCAGCTTAGGCCATTCTATGATTCTATGATTCTTCATCTTCTGAGGAAATAAGATGATGTGCAATTCTGGACACTACCTGTTATATAAAGGATAAAGTCATGGTTGGAAGTAACTTTCTTCTTGGAAGAAGGGCACAGTCTGCATGGCCAAGAGGGGAACCAAGTTAAGATTATTCTTGTGCTCTGTTTGTTTGACTTTTAAAAACTGATTTCTGATCCTGGACTTTGATTATTTTTCCCCATGTCCCTCCCAACTGTCATCAGTCTCAGAAAATGGAGGAAGGTTGGAAGAGGTGAGCAATTAAAAGCAACAGTCTGCAACAAGATCTGTTTAAATTATTTGACTTGCTCTTACAAACAGATGACTTTAGAACTGTTGCTTGTAAGCTTAGTGCAAGTTTACATACTCCTGCTACAGGGTTAGACTTTGCAATGGGCAACTTCTTAAAAAGCAGAGAACTTACTTGCTTTTAATATTTGGCTTTAGAATCAAGTCCTGTCTCTCCTCTTAATCCACAAATCCTTGGTTTGTTACAGGTGTGGGTAGCTTTTAGCAGCTGGGTGAGCTGTTTGAGACGGTATCATGAAATCTTGCATTTACATCTAGAAAAGTATAAGCTCTGCTGGTGACCAGGGCAGTGTATCTAGGCTCTCAAAAAATACAGTGCTGGATTTAAAACCCAATGCCTTTACCTTCTCTTCAGTTCTCTGTTTTCACTTATGCGAGGAGGGGAAGTACATTATCATCCTCAGCACTAGACTGTGAAGGTACCTGAGGCAGAAGTAAGTCCCCTCAGCCTGGTGTGTGCTTCACTTTGCCAGGAGCTGTGCGTGTCCTCCTTTGCCTTGTTTCAGGTGCCTTTGTACACAAAGAGGAACTGCAGACAGCTTTTAGATAATGGATAAAGGTGAAAAGTAAACTGTTACTAGTTTGTTGTTACCGACCGGAAGAATACTCTTTCACTGCAAGGCAGCTTTTTTATACTTTTATTTTTGTATAAACAAACGTTAAGACTACTTTTGTTAAGGCAGTTGTAGAACGTAACAGTTGCTTGTGGGGATGAGGGGCAAACACTGCTTCCTAATGACACATGTCATTCTTTTAATACAGTGAACTGGACTATAGAACTTTGGCAAGTACCATTAACGCTTTCCCCGTTTTGTCAGTGAAGGCTGGAAGGGCCCAGTGGTGCAGTCCTTGTGCGTCGGGACGTCTGGTAGTGCTCAGGAGGACGGATCCAGGAGTGGTGTGCTTGGCCCCAAGCCTGTGCTAAGGGTTGGTCACAGGGAAATGAGTGTGAAATAGCAGACTATTCCAGAAGTATTTACACATTTGGTATTTTCCTCTGGGAGAAGCGGCACTGCAGGCAGTTGGAGCGGAAAGGACCGAGATTCGTAAGGAACATTCAATGTCTCCCTACCAGCATGTTATGTCAGTGTCTCTTTTAAAAAAAAAGGCAAACCTGCCAGTCTCTATCATGACATGAATACATATTTACTGCTCAGAAGTACTCCCCTGGGCATATAGGGTTCATTCTGCCACCCTGAGAAAAGCCCAGTACCTGCCAGGTGAGGTTTACAGTGAAATGTCATCTTGAAGAGGTCTTTTCTTCCCTACCACCGCCCCCCATTTTTGAAGTCCTGTGTTCAGTGTCTTCAGGTCTGTCTCACTGATGTGCCGAGTGTATTACTAGGGTATAGCTGGACCTTCAGACACTACTACCCATTACACTGTACATATACAGCAAGTAGAGGGCAGGGCATGTGCTTTATTAAAATAATAGCTTTTTAAGCATGGCAGTATTATCTGATCTCGGGCTATATTTCATGTGTTGAAAAACTACACTACAGCCCCTGTTTATGTTCATGACATCATGCAACCTATTCCAGAAATTGTCAGAGCATAGAGAATGCACGGGTACACAAGACTAGTGGGGAAGAAAGACCCCAAAACTAGTCCTTTGCACTTTCAGGGGCCTGTTCCTTCCTTCACGTTGCACGTTTTACTGCCTCCATGCTTAAAAAAAGCTTTACTTACCTGCCCCATGCCAAAAACACTGCCTCACCTGCTCTTTAGGTGTTACATATTAAAATAGAGGCTCTGACATACTGAACAGCAAATGCATCTTTCATGGGATGATCCATGTTTCTTTTGGCCTCAGCTTCATTACAGGAAGAGAGAAATGTTTTTTATTCCAGCTGCTAGAACTAAGACTGCTCACTTTCTTATCTAGAAACACACAGGCAGGGTCATTCCTAGACTGGCTTAGTCCTGTGTGCAGTGAAAATGTACCACCGCTGAAAGTGCCAATCACAATCCCTGCTGCGCTGCATCACTATCTTTAGATTTCAAAAGACTGGGGGTTTTTCACTATCATAATTGCTGGTAGTTGGAAGCACGCCTTTAACTCTTCAAGTTTAAAAACCAAGAGGAGGTTGCCCTGGAATTCATAGCAGGGATGTCGGAGCAACATAGTTTTCCCAAGGCGCTTGATTCTAGTTTTATTAAATTCAGAAAGTCCAGATAGCCATAAAAAACTCTAAACCGTACCACTGTCCTTGGTCTCTCTCTCGTACTTCCCCTCTCCTCCCCAAAAGAAAAGCAAAAGATAATTTAACTGTTACCTCAGGGTGTTACGAGGCACCACGTAAACTAATTTATCAGAAAAGACAGACAAGCAGATTAATTGGGATCACAACAGTATGGGTATGGGGCATAACTTCGAACGCACGCTTCACATTACTTCATGACAGCGTACCAGCTGTTTTATTTCCACCATTGCTGTTACGAAGGCCTAGAATTTTAAACTGTGTTTAAAGGCCAAAGGAATTTTTATTACCTCATTCTTTCCAAACTATAAATGGCATTTACTCTCAAAAGAAATCCAGCTTTCAGCTATCCCTCTCTTGCCTGGGGAAAGTGGTGGGTAACACAGCTCTGCTCGGGCCATGAGGCCGAATTCTAGTGTAGGCTGTGCCACTGCAAGGTGCTGAGTTAACAAAGCGGCCCTTAGCCAGGGGTCTGCCTGAAGTTTTAAAGGTCCCATGTGGTGGTGCCCACTGTGGGAGTAAGTTCTAGGTGTAGAAAAACTCTGCTGCAGCTCTGCCAGCTCAGTAGAGTTGCTTCAGGACAATACTCGTGTAACCAAGCAGAGCATCTTACTTAACGCTGACAGATTATTGTTGTTATGCTGTTAACGTGATCTACACAACTACCAATTTTAATCATCTTGTAACAATCTTCTGACATTTATCCATTCTTTCGAGCAAGTTAAGAAAGGTAAAGCCTGCACACCTCTGGTTAGTTTCCAGGTAGAATCTCATCATACAAGCACACTGGGATATTATTATTTTTTTCTTCAAAACTTCAGACACTTTGTAGGAAAACAAACCAGCCAAACAAATGCAAACCTGTTGTGGAGAGTATATGAAGGAGTGCCTCTTTCAAGCTGTCATCCAGCTCAACCCCCCAGAGAAAAATAACATGGCACAAATTTAGAGATGTATGTCGATTGCTCATCCTGCCCTTCCTCCGCTCTCACTTGAAGGATCGTGATATGCACTTAAGAGGTTTCAGAAGTTGCATTTATTCCATTTGGATTGAAGCAGTCTCTGAAGATGCTACTTTTGTTTCTGCTTGTTGTCATTGTTACCATAGGTGGAGCCCTTGTTAATTTCTGTAACGCCTATCATCCATCTGACACCCACAGAAGCTGCAAAATAAATAAAAATTAAGTTAAAAGCTGCTTGCAGGCAGAGACTCAAGATCTGTACGGGTATAGCATTTTGAAAGAGACAATGTTCTCAGCCTTACAGCAGCACAACATTAAAGGTAACTACATGTGCTACCCACATTTGAATACTTTTTCCAAGAAAATCCTAAAAAGCCACAAATCTCCCCCGCATCTCTAAATCCCAGTTTCCTCCTGACTGATGGTAAGAAGTCCTGGTCCTGTGAGACGCACTTAATGTCTTACTCTCATTAGTTTTCACCTCTCTAAGATGATGATGAAAAACTCCCCATCAGCCAAAGGATTCCTTATGGTCAGGTCAGGGCCCGAGATGACCAAGAGAAGAGAATCCAGAGGCTCTGTCTCACTGCCAGCCATGAGCTGCCAACAGCAGGGCTCAAACCTGGCATTTGCTGCTTTTTAGCACAGGAACGGGAAAGGGCTGTCAGCTGGTACCCAGTGCTGCCCTTGTGCTTTACCAGTCGCTTGCTTGTCCAGCTCTAACCTCAGCCTACCACATCAGCCACGCAAAGCCATCGCTTTTTTAAATAGCTCTTGTGCTTCAAGAGTGTCCAGTGACAGGACAAGGGGAAATGGGTTTAAGTTGAAGGAGAATAGATTTAGATTGGACCTTAGGAAGAAATTCTTCAGTACGAGGGCGACAAGACTTTGGAACAAATTGCCCAGAGATGTTGTGGCTGCCCCCTCCCTGGAGGTGTTCAAGGCCAAGTTGGACGGAGCCTTGAGTAGCCTGATCTAGTTGAGAGGCGTCCCTGCCCATGACAGGGGGGCTGGACTAGATGATCTCTAAGGTCCCTTCCAGCCTAGGCCATTCTATGATTCAAGCAACCTGTTCTGCAGCAGAGCACAGACTATTGAACAAATGTTGTGCGCAAGGTGACCTGAAAAAGCTAATTAAGTATTTAAGTAAGAAGACAGACTAGAAAGCAGCTCTGCAGAGAAGGACTGGGGCTTACTGGTAGATGCCAGCAGTATGCTGGGAAGAGGATGAAGCTGCCCTGGGCTGCATTAGGAAAAAATGCTCCCAACAGGTCAAGGAAGGAGATCCTTCCCACTGGTGAGGCCTATCTAGAATGCTGGATCCAGTTTGGGCTCTCCAGTACAAGAGACACACAGACACAAGAGAGTGAGGCCAGTGAAGGCCACAGGGATGACTACGGGACTGGAGGGAGTATCTTTCCTGTGAGGAGAGGCTGCAAGAGCTGTGACTGTTCACAGCCTGGAGAAGCCCAGTGCAAGCTTATCCATGTGCATAAATATCTGAAGGCTCTTTTCAGTGGTGTCCAGTGACAGGACAGAAGGCAACAGGAACAAAAAGAAACACTGGGGTTCCCTCTGAGCATAAGAAGAAAAGGAAGAAAAAAAAAATCTTCACTGTGTGGGTGGTTGAATGCTGGCACAGGTTGCCTAGGGAGGTTGTGGAATGTCCATCCTTGGAGAGAGTCAAAACCTGATGGGACACAGCCCTGAGCAACCTGCTGTAGCTGTCTCTGCTCTAGTTGGGGGTTTGGACTAGTTGATCTCCAGAGGTGCCCTCCCATCTCAGCTACTGTCTTCTGTTTGATTTGCTTCAATGATAGGCACTGTGTATTCTGTTCTTTAAAAAAAAAAAACACAAAAAAACCCCCAAAAAACAGCACTTGAAAACAATCAACTACAGACTCATGTTTTGTAGTATTATTAATTGACAGTTTTTAGAAGTGCAAGTGGTAACTGGGTCATACGTGGTGTGACACAGTGATGGCTGAACAGTGATACAAGGCAGAAACTGGGTGGCCCCATGGGGCTGCCCTCGGCTCTCCTGGCCACCGAGACTCAGAAGAGCTGAGCCGTCTCACAGGCAGCGCTGTGCACTGCACAGCCTGGAAAGGGAGATGCCTCCTGCAGGGTTCACTGTCACTTACACGCCACTGTTAGTCCCTGACTAGAAACGCACACAATTGGCACAAGTGAAGGGTTTCACTCACAAATAGAAAAGGAAAAAACCATCATCTCTGACATTTAAATGTCCATGAGCTAGGAAAGACAAGAGGACGATCCAACATGCAGCCTGCAGTCGGGATCACAACGTAATAGTAAACATAAAATCATTAAGACTTTAACCAGAAAGGATAGAAACAGCATCTGGAGAGAGGATAAATAAAAGCAGCTGTTACAGCAACCACACAGCATATTGAGGATTTCATCCAGCTCAACGAATGCCACTACTTGGACACAAAAAATACTTAGTTTGCACTTCAGATTTTATCTTTTTTTTTTTCTTCTCCTTTGTTCTCTGGCAGAAGCTGAACTGCCCTTCTCGGAATCTCTTTCTCGGAATATCTTTTAGCACCAAGAAAAACAGCCCTCACACACATAGCACCACATCCCTCAGCAAAAACCTTACCTCAGAGGATTTCCACCTTTTCTCTCACACCGCAGGGTTCCCTCTCATGTTACCTGGGGTTTGTACCACACAGCAAGATGTGCTATAAACAGCACATCAGGTAGGGATAGAAAAGTTTCCCATATATAGTCTGCTGTACACCTAAGGTATATAGTTTATACACTGAAGATACGTAAAATTAAAGATTATGTGACTAGCAGAAATTGCCACTTTGGGCCTATTTTACGTACTATAAAGGAAAAGAAACAAGTGGAAAAAAAAATCCACAGCAGTTTTAGGCACCAAGCTGAAAGGCCAGACTGTCTGGCAGCTCTACCAACAGGCACAATCAACACAAGCAGAATCCTACGTGTAATTTTTATCCTCCTGCTGTTGTAAAACTTAGTGTAACACTGCTGGTGCTCTCTTCACCTGCCACTCAGCCTAGGAGCCCACAGACATCAACAGCCTTGCTGCCCAGATGACTTCATGCTCTGACCCTTTGGTCCATGTTCTGCATTTGAACACCATCAAGTCACTGAGGTCTCAGAGTTTGTCCCACGATCCATGGAAACAGGTTTTCTAGCAGCCCTGTGCACACACTGTGCAGCAAACAGGCAACAGCCCCTGCAGAGTCAAAACCATCTCATTTATACTTAGGCTTGGTTCAGATGAAACGCTTCTCTCTCCTATGACGGATACTTAACTGCTGGCCCCAGGCCATAAGTCCAGATGTCATTATGCTTTTAGCATTATATGTGAGAGCTGCTGCTTCATTTAAAATCCAAGAGAAGCCCTTTCATCTTTCGCACACAGAACCAACAATCCCCTTTTAATCGCTGTTGACAGCTCTATATTAAAATACTTATAGAACATGAAGGCTGTCCTCTTCAACACAAATTACCAAAACATGAAAAGCAACCTGACGCTGAGTTCTTTGGAGTCAAATGAGGTTGGGGAAGCAGGAGGGAAAAAAAAAGAAGCTGCTGTCAAAACAAAATACTGACATTCGACAGACTTGCTCACTGCTTTAACACCAGAATACGAGCCCCAAGTTTTAAATAGCAGTTGTAAGCTAGGTACCTAAATCTCTTGTGTGTGTGTCTTTTGAAATGAAAGCCAGTTTTCAAAAGAGACTTTTGTCCTTCCAACTGCTTGAGCAGTTTGCTCCCCTGGAGCAGGGACTGCCTTTTGTTGGTTCAAGCAGTATCACAAAGGGCTCCTGGTCCCTGACCGGTAGTTAGATTTTAACACAATGCAATGATTATTATGAGTATAAATAGCCAAACTGCTGTACAAAGCAAAGCAAGAGGGGATGGCTCAGCATTCTCAGTATAAAGAGGAGACGTCGTTTATTTAGGGCTGAAAGTGTTTGAGCTGAACCAGCAGAGCTATATATACACTAGTTATTCATTTCTCAGATCTGAGAGTTCAAGTCTGAGGTATTGCAGTGCTTTCCCTCCAGCTTGACCAACGTGGGGTACTTCTCTTATGCCTCTTTCTACCTGAACAGCCAGTTACAAGCCAGCCAGTAAGTGTTTCACCGGAGAGCACAATTAGCAAAGACTGTCCAAAAGACAAGTGATACTCTGGAAAGAAAGCAGAAAGCACAAGGTAAACAGACCTCCTCCTCCTCTGCTTTTTCCTATCACAGAACTTTTATGCATATCTTGGGCTACCTACTCTAATAACAGCAATGTTATCAGGTACTGAAATGTGCCCTTAGAAATAGCAATCTACTTATAATGGGCTATTAGGGACTGTAATAAGGTTCCCAATTTTGGAATATCAAGTAAGCTGTCAAACTGCCATCTTAAAAAAAACCCAAACATTCCAAATGCTACCTGTGCTGCTTCAGTTGATGAACAGAAGGAAAAGGTCTACGAGGAGCAATGTGAAAAAGCAATTTGATCATCTGATCACAATGGTAAATAAATCCTCGATTTACAGGAAAGGCTTCCCTTTACAATACTAAGCCACCAGGTACCAATTACCGCTCCGACTGGGAGGGAGCAAATACAGTCCTCCCTGCTTTGCTGCAGACTGGATCTGTCAGGCAGGCAGTTCCAGCTGGCATCAAGAGTCACAACTTCCAAGATCCACTTGTGTTCATCTGCTGCTCCTTCCCAGCCACTGCTGAGGTCTCTCTTCTGAGACCCTGCCTCAAGCTGGAGGCAGAACTGCAAAACAAAATACTGGTTGCTCCTCTGTCAGAAGATGGCTGCATCACTCCCAGGACATTCCTGACAGAGACAGCCCTCGGGATAAAAAGCACTGTGTTAGGAGAACAGCCCTGGTGCGGAAATTCAGCTATTGGCTAAAAAAGTCAATGTGAGAGCTTCAGCTGAAGTTGAGATGCTTTCACAGAAAGAGGCCAAGGATTCCCAAATGGCAGTAACATTGTTTTTAAAGGGATATAGTAACACAGATATAGATTCTAACATACTAAGGGAAATACTGCTCTTCTGGCAAGTAATGGCACATCCACTTTTAAGTGACCAGGATAAAACAGCTCCGCTGTTTGTTTGTTTTTACTGAGCTTCTTTCTACTCTCACAAACTCTCCTCCCTCCAGGGTGGCTGCTATCTGCTAACAAGTAACCAACATCATCTTTCTTTTTGCTGCTCATCAGCAAGAGGTGGCTGGCTGAGTCTCATGAGGCAACAGCCTCTATTACAGACAATGCAGTGTCCTCTGCTGCGCCCTAAATCCTGGTCAATTCTAAGAGCTTTGGGTCTGATCACACCAGGTGTTCAGGGAGAGACTCGAGTTGCTGTTGAGCACAGGGGTCTTGCAAAGGTTGTAAAGGGCTGCAAACTGCCCCAGCCCAGAAATGCAGCAGATATGTACGGGGCAGCAATGCCCATCACACAGTGGGACATTAATCTCACCATTCCCAATGTGTTCCTCAGCTGTGCTTTTGCAGCCTGGGAGCTCCTCCATTCTGGCAGCAGTGTTACAAATAGCCTGAGAATGAGTCCTTTAGGTTATTTCCGCATTCAGAAGAGGACTCACAGCAGCCTGCTTATTAATCTTTCTTTGTGGCTAGAAATAGAAGAAAGCTAAGTGGGGAACAAGACAGCAAAAGAAAAAAAAGAAGAAGAAGGGGCAAAAAAAAAAGGGCTCTTTTGCTATCCATTCTTCATGGCATCATAGTTTTTCTTCTTTACAAGTTCTTTCCTTCACTTCCTGATAAAAAGAAGACGTGACCTAGTTGTAAAGGCTACTAACGGCAAGATGGTATTTGACTTAGGTTGGGGGGTGAGGGGTGTGGTGTCACTCCACTAAATTAACAAGGGCCAACTCCAGAAACAATCACAGATGCCATAACACCAAGCATTAAATCACCCAGCCCTGAGGTCAAAATCAAGAATCCCTGGATTATGCAGCGAGGCTTCCTGTGGAAAGTACACAAGCCATGAGGAGCTTTGGAATGGCACATGAACAACCAGCCTGCTGAGCAGAGAAACTGAATTAAGAGGAAAATACTGAAGGAAAGATGTGAAATTAAAAAAATTTTGCAGCAGCAAAGCTTCAGTGCCCATTAGGCCACCATTCCCCATCCCAGTAGCATGGACTATGCCAGCATTTCTTCCAAAGGAAGAAAAAATGCCCTCGAGTGCTATTGCCAGGGAAGTGGCATTTGCAATGGTGCCACACCTCACCCCACCTACCGCTGTGTCACCGTTCTGAAAGCACACAGGAAAGCCCGAGTGAATTTTCTCTGCAACTGAGAGGGATCTGAAGCTAACATCTCCTGCTCCTGAAGAGCACACCTCAGCCACGGTGCTCACTCTTCACTCCCGTCCTATTCACTGATCGGAGAGGGGGTGAGGGGACACTACTTATGCTTTCCAACAAGTAAGGCGGGTGAAAAAAAGGGCTTCTAAGTTGTAGTCACTGCTCCAAGAAATTCTTACATGCTGGACATAAAGCATTCCCAGGGTAAAAATAAAATGCAAAAATAATTTCTCCAGGAGAGGACAAGAGCACAGGATTCCCTTCCCTTTTCCTCTACTCTGCCTGCACTAATGTTCCAACTATCATGTTGGGCCTTATCCTTGCTCTTATTTTCCCTCCTCTGGCCCAAAGAATCACAGAGCAGATTTCCTGTGCACCCCGCCCCCCACACATGTATTCCTCCTTCTCCAATTATTTTTATGAGGCTCGTCCACAGAGTTTGACTCGGTAGGCACTTTCTGAAAAAGAATATTGTTTGCTTGCCATATCAAGCACTTCACAAATGGGCAAAAGGACATCAGTTAATTCATCCTGATCAGAGTAGCACGGGACCTGCTCAAGATTCAGACTTCTGAGAATGGGAAGAAATATTATGCATTAGGAACAATTTCCTAGGTAGAGAACAAAGATGCACTTCTAGATACACTTCTGAGACAACAAAACACTCCATGTTTTCCTATTTCCTCTGTGTTATCATTTTTGATGTGGCTTTTCAAGCTAACTTTAATATCTCTATATCAAAATTCACTCAGAGCCAGAAGGAATGTGAAGTTCTGTTTCTTTTTTCAAAGGCTGTTTGTAATATATACAGACATTAAGGTGATGAAGTCATAAATACACATGATGGGTAGCGCAGCCATGGAAAATATTTGCTTTATAAACGTATGGCTTATTCTGGATGGGAACTTATTCTGGAATGGAACTTATTCTGCAAACGGGCACCCGATATGCCAAAAAGCTCAGACACTAAGACCTGACGTAATTTGCCAAAATGACCTGGTTCCTGCTTCATGAAGGATACCAAATGAGATCCTCTTCCCTTTCTGTGGGCCAGCTCCTTGTTCTGTTTTCCTTGCCCCTCTTAAATAACATACTGGTTTAAACACAAACGGAGGCAGTTCAAAACTACCACAGGAACTGTGGGAATTACCTGTAATAGGCTATGCCCTGTGCCACATAAGTCAATGGCCACAACAAGCTGTCCTTAAATCACAAGTTCATGCATTCGCAGTGAATGATGTATCAGACTATGATTAGATGAAACAACTCTCAACAGAAGAAATTATCCTTGATCATCTCTTCTAGGCGTTCAAAGTGCAACCCAGCAACACACTGGACAAGAAAAAAAAGCCTTTTGCAGGCAACTCATTAGAAAGGTACTGTTTTGATTTCTACAGAAACAGAAAATTTTGTATGCAGCTCTTAAAAAAGTAATACAACCATACAAAAATAAACAAAGAGAAGAGAATCTATTTAACCTTTTCCAGGCTAAAGTGAATATAGTATCAGGTGGTCTGTTAAATTCACAAATCATGTTTATGTTTAGTAAGCTTCAACAAATTGTATCTGACAGTTACCCAGCGAGTAATATTTCTGTTTTCAAAAACTTACCCATTACAATGACAAATGCAAAACTAGCCAGTGTCAGGGATGATCCACTGTTAATCATGTTGATGAGCAGCTTGAATAAAGGATAGAGCAGCAATAAGGCCCAGAAAAGCCAGTTCAAAAGAGTCCACGGTCGTCGGGGTGGTACTACAGGGACTGCTGGGTAGGTTCCTGTTCGGTAGTATTCTTCCTGGAATGCATCCTAGTAGAATGAAGGAGGACAACAATTAAAACCTCATCTGCCAACAAAAGTAGCCATTCCTGACTTTGATGTTCTTCCTTCTGCAGGCTTGTAACCAGGGGGAAGATCAAAGACCAAATCATGGCTGGAAAGCTTGTACTTTGAAGTCAATGACCACACAGTCAAAAAAAAAAAAAAAAGCAACTTACATTGATGCACATATCCTATCTTTCTCCTACACATAGAAGCCTGAAAAATTGCACGCTTGGAGAGTATAACAAGCCCAGTAAAATAAGATGGGTGAGGGTATGTACACTGCTGCAGTGATGCACATATCATTGTTGAGCCTCCTCCTGCAAGAGCCGCAGCCACTGGCTAAATAACGCTGGTAAGCCAGGGGAGCATTTGGCCTACACATTCAGCAGCAGAGCCCCCGTCTCCTAGTGCTTTCTCCAAGCACTGCTCTAAACCAGCATCCACAGCCCTGTCAGGAAAGGTGAGCAGACACCATCTGGTCCCACACTCCAAAGAACATCACCCCCTCCCATCTGCTTTGTCCCACAGCGGCAGTCCTGCTCATCTGGCTCCCATGACACCTACGGAAGAAAGTTTAGAATCTCTCACTGGCTTTGGGCAAAGGATTCTCTCTTTTAGCACAGTATGAGGAAGACAATGGGGTGGTGTTTGAGTTTTCTTGTTTTGTGGTGTGTGTTTTTCAAAGCACAGAAGACTTAGGATTCACTACTTTCCTCTAGAGCCCACAGAGGTGAAAAGCATTGCCTTTAGCAATGTGATCAGCCCAAGATCCCAAAGTGGGTTGGGAAAAAAAAAACAACAACAACCACTCTTCTTACTGGTTCAAAAGCAGAGATTGTTAATCTGTCTTATCACATAAAACTGGTTAATGAAGTCAGCATTAGACTGACATAAAAAGGAACCTCGATTTAATCAGAATGAAGTACTAAATTCTTCCAAAGGCAGGAGTGCTTCATGACAGTTTCTAAAAATTCTGGCAAAGCCAAGACTGTCCTAAACAACCAGAATATTATTTCTACTACGCGATGATTTTAGATTTACACTGCAGCTGAAGCAGATAATTCTTGAATTATTTAATGGCAACTTGAGAAATTACAGGCTGCTAACATTTTATCTATTTCAATGGGAACATTCAGTTTAAGAGATTAAGCAGTAATTAAAGCACTGCACTCTACTGAGATTAGAAGAATTACAACTGTTTTGTGCACAAGAGCTAGGTTGTACTGGGATCACTATGGCAAATTAATTAGCTATCTTAAGCCAATTATAGAGTGTATGAAGTCTTCTTTGCAGTGTCTTGAGGATTTTGGTTTATGACTGGTTTAACCCAGAACTACTAATCATCAGTAAATTGAATTCTACTATATACAGTTAGGTTTCTAAATACCGGTATTACCCAGAAATGTCAAAAATTTCTGGTTTTTATCAGTGTAGTCGTTAGGGGGCCTATTACTACAGCGAGCAAGACGGACTTACTTAAGCCATTTTCTCTTTGTCCGCTCCGAACAGCATTAGAGGCCGCAAAACCATCGACCACATCTAAGTGGTTCAAGATGGATAAACAAAATACACAACCGGCAAAACAATGTCAGCGCCATCATGCCACTACCCATTTTACACCACTGTGTGGAACAGCTCTTCAATTCAGTTGCGATTCTTAACTCATAAACCATGTTCCATGCAGAAGAGAACTGTGGGTTGATCTGTTTCCTTAACTTTTGCAGATGTGCCAAGGGTACCCATCAACAACAGCTCAAGTCACCCTTTAAACCCATGAGGTACCTCAAAATTTCCCTCAGTCACCTTGCCCACACAAAGTTCCTCTCATTCCTCAGCATACAGAGCTCGGACACAGAAACACACTCCCTCTAATGTCTCCGCCAAACTTGAGTTACTTCAGACAGCGGGGTGGGTACTGCCGGGGAGGGAAATGAGGGAACATCCACGATCTTACGAAAGGATAACTGGATTCCTCCCCTCTGCTCCCACCAGGGAAGGCTGACGGCAGAGGTATGCTGCTGCCCTTTCATGAGGAAGCCCACAGAGAATGAGTATCCAAAAATACATCCTTTGTTCCCAAACACTGGAATTCTGTACACTTCCCCTTCTTCAGTTATGCTTTGCTAATTCCCTGGAGCATTTCAGTGTATATTTTCATGCCTTGTTTTCCATGCTTTTCTCACCACTGAGAAGAATTAGAACCTTATTTTCTTTTTAGTGGAAATTTAGATTCTCAAGCAGAACTTCTACTTTAGGCACAGAGGCTGTAAGGAGGTGAAAAAAATAAAAAAAAAACAACCACAAAACACATAGAAGAGCTAGCAGAATTGTGACTATTACATTATACCTCTTTAGAACAGGCACTACGATGCTCAGCCTGGTCCTTGTTAAAGTCAAAGGGAATCCTTCTAGCAATGGTAGTTTGAAAAAGAAAATAAAAAGGCAATATGCAACCCAAGTCGCACCTCTGTGATAATTTTTCATTAACTGATACAGTGCTGGCCCTCTGTGGAAGGACAAAATTCCTCACCTCAGGTGAGGAAGAATCATGTGGACACGGTGCTTACTTAAGCCTGGAAAAAAGGAAGGAGAATAGTGTTTGGTTTAGAACAGCACCATGCTGTTGTTTATCTGGCAAGGCCTTGTCCATTACATTTGCAGCAGTGGCTTAACCAGAAAATTAAATGATAAGTAGCAAGAACGTAAATGCATCAGGTTCCCAGAGAGCAGTTACCTCAGGCTGAGGAACATGTAACCGAGATCAGGCAGTGAGGCAAAAAACAACAATGGAACAAGTTTATCTCAAAGACTTTTGCTTTTCACTAACAAAAATTTGGGAAAATAAAAAATAAATCAAAGAACTGCTCATTTCATTAATCATTCAAACAGCTTTGTGGCCCTGATCCCGACTGCACGGCTCTTCAGCCTTGACCTCAATACCTGTGGCATGCCCCACCTACTAAATCATGCTACTAGTGTGTAATTCAGCACACAATATGCAATTCTTGGGAAGGTACTGTGAAATTATGAAAATCTCTGAGAATAAGCAATGGCACATGCAACCACAATGCAAGATAAAATAGGGGCTTCATTTTTCAATAACAGTGTGCACACCTTGTCTTTGAAACAGAAAGTTTTTGAAACAGAAGTGCTACAACTGAAATAGACAAAGCAGGGGATGAGTGCTTATCTTACAATGAATTACTGCCCTTTGAATACAGATTTGTTACATTTAATCTGAAGTATTTGCTCACTAAAGGTATTAATCTGAAACAGAATTAATTTTTGGAAACAACACCTAGGCAGCAATGCTGCTTGTTACCCATCTAAGAGTCCATTATCTTTTTTAAGATGCAGGGCAGAAAGGTGAAACATAATTGGGTTTTCACCCTGCAGGTGGGCTTTCATCATCTCAGGACTCCTGAAGAAGTTGTCCCTGCTCTATATTCTCCCACTCTGATTTTACAGAGACACGGTACTGCAATGAAATAACAGTTTCACTGATGTAAAACAGCTGAAGGAAGAGGAACATAGCAGAAGGAAAAAAAAAACAACAACACAAAAAACCCCCACGAAATCCACCACCAAACCAAAAAAAAACCAACAAAAACCCAACCAATTAAAAAAAAAGCCACACAACCAAAAACATTTTAATGAAAAGGAAACCTGAACACACATTCCTTCCTCCTATACTTAACAAGAAACTGGATTTAATCAACCAGCAAACTAATGTGTTACAAAGAAATAGGACAGATCTATGCTCTGTTTTCACTAGAAATAACAGAGTGCTCACTAAAGAGAAAATAACAGGAAAAACTTGAATTACTACAAACTCTGAATTACAGCAAACCATGTAACAATGGATTCAAGAAAACAATAACCACGTTATCCTTTGATTTATGCTCTTGTCTTGCAAATGTCTAAGCAGTTCTTAACAATGTGAAACAGGGTTACAGATAAAGTTGCAGCAGCAGCGAGTAGACTCCATGATCAGCAAAAGGACCATTTGCACTTACATGCCTGCCGAGAGAGCACAGGCCCATGGGGTGTTCCTTACTGCAGAAAGGTTTTAGGGGTCATGTCTGAATTAGGCGTTAGTGGGAAAATTAACAAGAAGGGAGACCAGAGGCAAAGCTTGTAGATCCACAGCTGAGGTCTCAACACACGTTTACTTTTCACATTCCTGTACGCGAAGCTGCTTAGCGGGGCTATGAGCTAAACCTGAAAGAGTCATGGGCTGAAGCCAAAAAAGACTAGAACACAGTCACAAGAGAGAAATGCTAACGTGTAACGTTCTGGGTGGAGTACAACAAAGGGCACGGCACAATTTTGCTGCCCCAGTGAAAGGCAACCAGAGCGCCGCTATATTTTGTCAGCTCTAAACCCGAAGCACTGCTGTATTCCAGCCCGAACATGAAAATTGGATCAACTTATTGAAACAAACTGAGCTGCCAGGCCCTCACACCTCGCACGCCAATGGCTCCCACGGGTCAAAATGGGAGTGCGGCGTGGGCTCAAGGAGGGCATTCCCCAACCATTATCTCCTATATTCGTAAAAGCAAATCCTAAGAGAAACACATGCTGACAGTCTGAAGGATGCATATGAAAGCATCTGCAACAGGAAAAAATGAAAACCAACCAGCATCTACACACAGTCATCATTACTCTTCCCCCATCCTAGGTAATTTGGAATCTTAAGCACACACCTTCTATGCACAAAACGTGAAAGCAATTTATCAGCCTCTGCTATTAATGTTGGATCTTTGCCTTGGTAAAAAAAGACAGGGAAAAATAGGGGACAAAAATTCAAATACACTAAAGCAAAATATACCTTATTTAGCTCAAAAATTACTTCTTGATTTAGGAGCTGCCTTGAAGGGGAAGGAGGCCCTTCTACCAACCAGGAGGCAGTTGTAGGTTTTGTATCCTTACGCAACTTGCTAAGGAAGAGTTTTAAGACTACTCTATTGAGGCTTGCTTAAGTTTCCTTCCAGTTGCTCTTTAAATACAAAATAAAGGCAATCATGATTGTCAGCACAAGACCAGTTTGTGTCTGGAGAAACAAAGTACTTATCCTGGAAAACAAACAAACCAACCAACCAAACAACCCCAAGACCCCAAAGCAGGACCACTACACATGCACATCACGAAGGTCTAGTAGTAGTATAAATAACTGAGCACTAGTGGCTCCCAATTATTGTCTAGACAGAAAACCAACCTTTTCTTGATAGAGTTTGTGGAGCCAGCTAGAACACTCCTGCTCATCTTCTGGGACTTCCTCTAGTGGAATCCGCCTGCCAACAGTGAACAAGAGAAATCGAAGAATATTAAATATTTCGGCTCCCATGAATAGCACTTACAGTATATAGATAGATAATCCATTTGACAGAGGACTCATTACATTTTCCACCTTTTTTTTAATTTGTGGTAAAAACTCCCAGATCAGCAAAGTATAGTTTTGTTCTATAGCCACCTTCAATTCTTACATGTATCTGAAATTCAGAAATATAAATTTCTGAAAATAATGCTTTATTTTTGAGCTCACTAGAGCCACTTTCTAAAGGTCTGCAATTTTCTGTTTCCAAACAAAGGGCTTAAATAAATTATTTTCTTACCCCACCTATGGAGTTCAAGGATGTATTTAACCAGCTAGGCACTGGAGAGAAAAAACCCAAACCTTTCTTCTTATGCCTAAGGTAAAGCACATCAGTATTTCTCAGGTAACTTTTCCAGTTCCTCGATTTTTTTTTTTTTTGAACATGTAGCTTGGTTGGATAATTTCCAGCAAAATGGCTCCTACCACTGAAAAAACTCTCTCTTGACAAAACAAAGTTTTCATCACACTACATTAATTTTGGCCAATAATCCTGTGACAGAAAAAAAAACCTTGTCATCTTCATTTAGGTATGCTAACAGCAATATTCAGTAATTTTACATTTTTTAATATAGCACATATTTTCATCAATATCCATTAAGAACATCATCAAATTAACACAGGCAAGAGCACTTTTCACAGTCAGGACACCACTGTTTGCAGTTAATAAATTAAGAGGTGCAACAGTACTGTTTTGTTCCTTTATTTAAGAAAGTCATGAGATGACAAACATTAGAAGTGAACACAATTTAAGCAGAAACAAACAAAGCCATCCAGATTTTGAAACCCTCTGCTGAGTTTTTAAGCACCTACAGCACTTCAATGAGCAAATATGGAGGATGTCGAAGAACATCTGTGATGGTCCCCAATTAATTGCCAAAATAAATTTACCTTGCCTATAACCGCGTTTCAGTAGGCTCAACGTGACGGAAGGGCAAATAGGTCTGAGTCATGAAAAGGAATTTCCATGCTCTGCCAGATCTACCTGCAGCAGGCTGGAAAGGTGTAAAGGGAGACACAGCAAGATGCACACCTCTACACTGTTGAAGGAATGGCCCGCAGAGGTTGGGCCACCTGTTCCTCCATGAACACTAGCCAGTCAGGCCATGCATTCCAAACACATACTCATGAGAGCCAAGTGGGAATGCAAACTCATGTTGCATCCGTGAGGCATTCAAGAGAACATTTCTTTTTACCCTTGGGCAATACCAGATCTGAAGACGATATTTTTTCAAACAAGCAGAAAAGAAGAGGTAAGAAGAAAAGGACATTCTACTCCATGTTAGTACCCAAGATAAACTAATTGGATCAGCCAATCATAACTATAAAGGGTTTATGATGAACTCCGGATAACTTCTAGGCTTCTGTGCTCCAACCCTAAACGATCACATACCTTGAATGCCGGCAGCACGGGTACTGCTGGCAGAATCTGGTCTGTGAATGAGGGCCTTGAAACAGGCTTGTTCCCATTAAGATTGTGGGAAGCCATTGGGGTATTTGTCACTTTTAGAAACATCAATGATATGGAATCCGGTAATTTGTGTTTTCATTAAACAACTTCTTGGTAAGTGGGAGCAGTAGTCAAATACATCAAGAACTACAACAAACAGAGGCAGGAACAGTCCTGAGCCTGGCCTCCACCTGAGTGGGAACAATAGCGCCAGAGACAAGTGTAAAGCCACTCCACCCAAACACTTAGTAAATGTTTGGTATTCCGGCCAAGTGTATTTAAAAAGAGGCCCCACTGTTGCTGCTGACCTGACAAATAGACACATAAAGGAATAAAAAATAAAAAACAAAAAAGTCCTGAGACATTTATAGAGTGCCCACATATTTACAGACATAAAGCTTTTACAAGAAACTCTGCCCAACCCATAGAAGTCATCTGGAATTCTGTGAAGCCAGGCTGGTATCCATCACCTACTTGAAAGTATTTCCTTATTTGTGCAATTGTGATTGCAAGTATACATTCTTGTATGTCAAAAAGAAATTAAAATATGGGTTACTTGCCTTACATATAAATCTGCATGATATTTCTTTCCATTTAGAACTCCCAGCAATGTTGGATTCTCATTATTTCTAAAATTGAGGGTAGAATCATAGACTGCAGAAACTACAAGAAGAGAAACAGGTTATGTGATTACTGTAGTAATAGAATGGCAATAAGTCATTCTGTCTCAGATAAGGAGAATATTTAAACATGAAGTCATCAGCAATAGCCCCATAGTTTGAGCAGTCACCAAGATAAAACACAACAACGGAATATTCAACATACAGGTTATTAAGAAGCCAAATAATCAGTGACCCTTTCAGGAACTGCACCAGTAGAACAGAAAGGTTTGCTCTCCACCTTCATCTCCTTCTCCAGAATGTTGAGCACAGGGAACACAGTTACAGTTTCTGACAGTTAAGATACCTAGGAAATCCTAGGCTGTATCAAATGGTTGAAAAGCTATTCACTTTCTCAACTCACTGAGCCCAGAAGGCCAATCGCATCCTGGGCTGCATCAAAAGAAGTGTGGCCAGCAAGTAGAGGGAGGTGATTCTGCCCCTCTGCTTTGCTCTGGCGAGACCTCACCTGCAGTGCTGTGTCCAGCTCTGGTGCCCCCAGCACAAAAAGGACATGGACCTGCTGGAGCAGGTCCAAGGAGGCACACAAAGATGATCAGGAGGCTACAGCATCCCCTCCATGAGGACAGGCTGAGAGAGTTGGGGTTGTTCAGCCTGGAGAAGAGAAGGCTCCAGGGGGACTTTATTGCAGACTTTCAGTACTTAAAGGGAACCTATGAGGAAGCTGGGGACAATCTTTTTAGCAAGGCCTGCTGCGACAGGACAAGGGGTAATGGTTTTAAACCGGAAGAGGGTAGAAAGTGCCTTCCATCCCAAACCATTCTTTGATTCCATGACACAACTCTCCTCACCAAATCTGCCTAAACAACCAGGCAGATACACACTTTATAAACAATGAACAATATTTGCAGTTTGACTAAGAACGGGTGACGTGTGTGTGAGACACATCCTACAGCAACAAAGCTTAATGCAACTATGAATCACTGGGGTTCAGAACAACCTCCCCTTCATGCCCAATAGTTGAAAATGGAGGCATTTGCTATAGGGCAAAGGCAGTAACAGAATAATAGACCATGTCCTGTGTGAGCTGGGCTGCTGCTATGAAGACATGCAGCCCTGAGGAATACAACATTCACGTTCCACAGAGCAAAACTGTAGCCAAACTTTCAGCCTTAAGAAAACACTGTTTCTGCAGCTCAAGATGCACAGTGACAATAAAAGTATTTGCAGAGGTCATTCACAGTTAAACTAAGACAGCTTTAATAAGCAGTTTCTACAGAAAAAAGTACTCACTGTTTTAAACCACATAAAGTGTTCAAAAAAAATGTCTTCGAACACATGATTAGAGACACTATTTTCCTGATGTCACAAAATTACCAGAGAGTGAGTAATTTTCCTGACACTAAAACCAATTGGGCATCATGGTACAAATTCTACGATCAATGTCAGTCCCAAAACTTTCTGTTGGCGTTTTTTTTCTGTAGTCACAAAAGTGACTAACATGCACTTCACGTGTAGCCTGCTGTGTTTTAGGTTTTCTGCTCTAGGATTTTGCAATATTGAACACACTGTGATGAACCTTTACTGTGAGAGCTCTTGATCCACCTAAGAAAGCCTTTTATTACACAGAACTGATTCACTTTTGGTTTTGAAGCCTCTCCAGCTATGAGAGATCAATATGGCTTGGTCACAACATTCAGCCCCCAGAAAGTCACCACAACATGTGCTATTGAAAACCAGAATTTGTAGTGTAGAATAGAAGAGCCTGGCTTCAGGGCTGCAAGAAAATCCTGCAAACAGCAGCCAAAACCCTGCCACTGCATACAGTCTAGTACCTCTCATTAACAACTCTATTGTTTTCCTATTAGGGTTGGGTTTTAGCCCAAACTTAAAACTAAAACACACAAGCCAAAATATACTTCAAGCACACTACTGTCCCTGTACAATCTAAGTAGGGAATTACTTTTTTTTTTGAAATAAATTATCTACTTCAATTTTTAAGCTTCTTAGTGTAGAAGGATTTTACTAATCTACTCTAATTTATTAATCCAGTGTAATTGAAGGAAGACAAGAGTTCAATTTGGTTTTTACAGGGTAAACTTCTAGTTTATTCTTTAATAGAATGAGATTATTCTAACAACAATAGTGATATAATAAAGGAAAGTATGATGACACAGCACTTGTTATCTCATCTTTTAGAAGACGTCTAGATTTAAATTTTGATATGAACTGGATGCTTGCTTCAACACACTAGAAGATGCTTCTCCTGTTCCAAAAAAACTTATGTAGATTTGGTCACAACACCTCTATGTGCTGATGGCCATCCACAGGGTTCTCCTTCACTCCAGGGAAAAAATATCACATCCCAGTTTGTAACTGGTCTGTATTTTGATATTCAATGCAGTCCTTTTTCATATCACACTGAAATCTTTTCGTGCAAAGTAGTGCCAACTCCAAGGCAATGATAACATATGCAGGAGTACACAGACCTCTTGTTATATCCCGATATAAAATAACTGAAGGCTTAAGCTTTTCCATTTCGAATGAGCAGGAAAAGAACAACAGCAGAAGTACCATATAAGAGGACTCCATGGAGTTCAAACTTGCCAGAAAGCTTCCACAGCCAAAGCAACACTAGCATGCTGTGTGACACTCTGGAATTGTTCTTCATTAAATGTATATTTTGTAATTACACAATTGAATTGAACATCTCCCACCTTCATTCCCTTTTCCGTCCCATTTGGGGGGGAAGAGGGGGTTAGAGAGCGTCTGTCCGTGTTAGTGGCCAGCCCAGCCCTAACCCACGACACATCCAAAAGGTGTAGAGTCCGAAAGTTTCATGTTCTAAACCAGTTAAAAAATAACTCCACAGTACCTTGAAAACATTTAAAATGTCTAGATCTCAGACTAATTTAGGCAGTGTTTTAGAAGTTTTGCTTCAATTGTGAAATAAAGTATTTTCTCAAAGAAGCTAGCTTAAAACATCTTTTTCATTACCGAAAAAATGCAATTCAATACTTGGAAGCCTTTTCAACGGCTAAGAACAGACCTTAATTGAAAAGAAAACTTTTCCATCTGAATTGCTGTTTTCTGATAAAAAAAGACTATTTTTTTATTTTCTAATCTTGGCTTAGCTTTTTTTTATAGCTTTACCCTTTGGTTCCTTGTATAGTATTTTGACAGAGAGTTTTGTACTTAAGAATTTAAGATTTAATTTCATAATTTTGACATAAGAAATCTTCAGGTTACAAAATCAGAGAAGACCTTTCTTACTTCAGCTGTCCTCCAGAATTTTATGTATTATTTTGTGAACTTGGTGGATTATGCCAGAATGATGATCCAACAAATCAACCTACAGATGATGAGCATGCCTACATACAGCTTGATACAAGCACGTAATGATCTGAAGCAAAGACTGGGAAAGGAGGAAGAGATGATGAAATTCATTGTCCTGTTGGTAGGACAGCCACCCTGACATCATCCTTTGATTTAACATTGCATTGCTCTGATCATCTTGGTCAAAAATCACTCATCCTCTTCAACTTGGTAGCTTGCTCAGACGGATAACCAGGAGCCTCACTAAATATTATAAATAATCCAGGACTAAAGTGTAGCTCAGGAAGAAAAAAAAAAAATCACTGCAAAACCTCTAAACACTGTCATATCGAACTCCACTACAACATTACCCTGGAATTTATTCTCATGTGTTGCCTCTAGGACAGTAGTTCCCAGCACGCACAAGTGGAGGAAAAGGTTGATTTGGATTTATCTACAATCCATCATGAGGCACATTTTTAAATGCAAGTCTTAACTAAATAAAAACAGCTGAAGAGAACTGCCTGACATAGAGCCAGGCAATAAAAGTAGTAGCTAAATACATGTTCTGCAATATTTATGACATCTATTTTTACCATAAGTAATGGTGAGTGTTTTAGAAACAGACCTGTATTTTCATTTGCTTCTATGAACAGTACAGGTAGCAAACTCTAAAACCTAACAGCAATTTATTAAGACAGCAAACAGCTTCTAGAAATTAAGTTCCTGGGAACTGTGTCTGTACTACCAAACTGGTGGAGATGGTCACCGACAAAAAAACCAGAACAAGTTCAAAATTTATTAAAAGCACTCCTTTAAGAGTGCTGACCTGTGTGCAAAAATCTAAATTTGTGAAAGTAAATCACAGAATCACAGAATGTTAGG